AAAAAATTTGACCCCAATTTCTCTATTTTTCCGCCGTTTTTTATTTATTTTTCCGACTTGAAAATGAAGAATCGCTGAAATTTTGACTCATTTTTTGCTGGTTTTTAACTCGTTTCTTTTCCTTTTACTAATATCGGTTGGTATGACTTTTGGCCTATCCGAGTGTGCGGTTTTTTTTTGGATTTTTCTAACATTTTTTGTGATTTTTGCAATTTTTCTCTCTTCAAAATTCTCATTTTTATAGGTTTCTGAGCTAAAAATTGACGAAAAAATAGGATTTTTCCTGCCGAAAATTCAATTTTCAAAAACCATAAAAATTCAAATTTGAACTGAAAATCAGAATTCTGGTTTAAAAAGCTAGTTTTTTCTCGAAAATTCCATACTTTCCGAGAAAATACAAGTCTCAAAGTTTAAACTGAAATTTAGCTTTCTTCAATTTTTTTTTTCAAATTTTTGAATCTTCAGAATTTTTGTCACAAAAAATTCAAAAATCTGATGATTTTCGGTTTTATGGTGTTATTCACTTAGCGAAAATATGTATTGAAATGCATTTACAGTTATGTCGCGAAATGCTTTGAAATACGTTTCGCGACGCTCATGCATTGAATTTCGAGGGCGCGGAAATGCATTTCAATACATATTTTCGCTAAGTGAATAACACCATAAAACCGAAAATCATCAGATTTTTGAATTTTTTGTGACAAAAATTCTGAAGATTCAAAAATTTGAAAAAAAAAATTGAAGAAAGCTAAATTTCAGTTTAAACTTTGAGACTTGTATTTTCTCGGAAAGTATGGAATTTTCGAGAAAAAACTAGCTTTTTAAACCAGAATTCTGATTTTCAGTTCAAATTTGAATTTTTATGGTTTTTGAAAATTGAATTTTCGGCAGGAAAAATCCTATTTTTTCGTCAATTTTTAGCTCAGAAACCTATAAAAATGAGAATTTTGAAGAGAGAAAAATTGCAAAAATCACAAAAAATGTTAGAAAAATCCAAAAAAAAACCGCACACTCGGATAGGCCAAAAGTCATACCAACCGATATTAGTAAAAGGAAAAGAAACGAGTTAAAAACCAGCAAAAAATGAGTCAAAATTTCAGCGATTCTTCATTTTCAAGTCGGAAAAATAAATAAAAAACGGCGGAAAAATAGAGAAATTGGGGTCAAATTTTTTAAGTGTTTCAAAAAAAAATGGAATAAAAAAGTTAGAGTTTTTAAGATAGAAAAAATTTTTGAGACGAAAAAAAAAGGAGATTTTACAACAGAAAACGGGGAATGGAGAAATGTATTAGGAATGGATTTTTCCAGAATTTCCCTCAGAATCCAAGAGATGCTTGCAATTGAAGAAGTTTGGACGTCACATGTGTTGGGAACTTGTATGGAACAGTTGCCGAGTACAAAACGATTGCCTTGATCTGCAAAAAATAAATATTTTTCAGTTCGAAATTTTCAGGCAGAAAAACAAAAATTGTCTGAAAATAAAACTGGAAATCGGATCTTTGAAATTGTCATTTTTTTTGTAGATTTTTAAACTTAATTTCAAAATCCTCAGATAATCGCGATTTGTCTGAAATTTTCAGCACTTTCAAAGTCATTTTTCAAGCAATTCTAATGGATTTTCTAGCATTTTCGATTTCATTCAGAAGTTGGTTTCTATTGATTTTTCAAAAATTGATAATTAAAAAAAAAGCTTGTGAGCAATCGTCCCTAATCCTTACTAGTCTACAGTAATCCATTCGTAGAGGCTACAGTAAATTGTTCAGCGAATCTACTGTCCCCATGCTACAGTAACCAAGATTCCTCAATTTCACACAATCTTACAGTAATCCATTTTTACAATCTACCGTCTATCCATAAGTGCCTTCTGCTACAGTATTCCAGACACCATAAATCAAAATTTACAGTATTCTGCGGTATCCATCTTGCAGTTCCATAGTAATCTATTCCTATAATCTACAGTAATCTAAATCTAATCTACGGTGCCCGTGCTACAGTAATCCAGACATCGTAACACCGAATTCGCAGTATTCTCCAGTATCCATCTTGCAGTCCCACAGTAATCCTTTGGGGAATATACTGTAGTAAAAGTGGAAAAATCTACAGTGATCCATTCACCGAGCCAGGCATATCTGAGAAGCTACAGTAGTCTTCACAGAACCTACAGTAATCCTTACACAGAAATTACGGTGCCCGAGAGATACAGTAATCCAGACTCCCAAATCGTAAGTTCACAGTATTCTGTAGTATCCATACTGCAGTTCTACAGTAATCCATTCCGAGAGCCAGTAATTCATTACAGCAATTCATTTACAGAATTGATGGTATCTCTGATGCTACAGTAGTATTTGCAGAGAGTCCAGAGAGTACAGTAATCTAGATTCCTTGATTTCACAGAATCCTACAGTCTTGTATTTCTACAGTAATTCATTCTGAGGGTCTACTGTAATAAAAGTTGCAAAATCTACAGTAATCCGTTTACTGTTGGCCGTATTTGACAAGCTACAGTAGGCCATACAGAATCTACAGTAATCCTTACGCAGAATTTACGGTGCCCGAATGCTACAGTAATCCAGACTCCTAAATCCCGAATTCACAGTATCCTGTAGTATCCATACTGCAGTTCTACAGTAATCCATTTACTGAGTTGACCGTATCTGGCAAGCTACAGTAGGCCATACAGAATCTACAGTAATCCATTTTCTGATAGTGAGTTGATCGCATCTGAGAATCTTCACTGAACCTACAGTAATCCATTCCTCGATTCTGATGCTACAGTAGTCTTCAGAGAAGCTACAGTGGTCTACCTACCGTACCTCAGGACCTACAGTAACCCAAATAGTCCGAAATCCACCAATTTTCCCCTGGAAATTTCCCTCTGTCTCCTCCAGCTTCATCATATGTTTCAAAATGATGTAACCCCTCAATTTTCTTCTTTTTTCTCGCTTTTTTTCTCTAATCCCTCCTATATTTTCCAATTTATTTTCGTGTTGATTACTAGCAACAAGGTGTAAACTTGGTATCTCCACAATAAATTATTGTCAAAAATCCGTTTTTTTTGGCTGAAATTGGGTTTTCTACGCTTTTTAAATAGAAAAAAAAGAAGCAAAAAAGGGCATCATTATCTGTTATCTATCAGTTAAAGGTGATAGCGAGAAGACAGCAGTGACCTTTGTCCAAAGAAATGAAAATAGCCAAAAATTGGAAATTTAGAATCTTTTTGAGAATTATGAGATTCAGACCTCTCTGGATTCGTCAACTTCTGTATTTTGAAGTTCAACAGAGCGCATTAATTGCTCTCCCATTTTCTATATACATCTGTTATTCTGACAATGAGCGCTTCTTCATAGACTCCTCTTCTTTGGAACGTCTTCAATCGAGCGGCTCGATTCGAATGCACCGAGGTCATAGAGTATCAAATAACTGCCACACCAGATAGCTATATAATAAAACCTCTGGCGTTCGTAGTTATGATTTACAACCGCTTGGAAGTTGGAACATGCCGATTTGTTTATAACCATTTAGTGTCTGTTGCCTCTCTCCCTCTCGTTCTCTCGTACACAGAGGTGTCAATGGTCATTAGACCGTCTCAGAGCCTCTGAGTCAGAGAGAGAGAGAGACATATGACTTCGTTCATTCATCTTGACCTATAGGTACTTCATTCTAGGATAGATAATCTAGTCAATAAGGTGATAACCAATCTCTCTCATACTGTTAGGGCCAAAACCTTTCTAAGGTTTCGAGCTTTAAGTTAGTCAATCTAGCCTGGCTGGACAAGCCAATATGAGCACAATCAAGGATCTGTTCTGTTGCCCAACTCAGGACTAAACCCAGACTAAGATTCTCTCGAAAGCCGAGTCTCAAGGATCTTGAGCCAATTTCAATTTGGTTGGGCTTTATGGGACATTGCTCAGTTTTCCTTCTCTCTAGATAGATGGTATTTCCATCGATGATCCATCCAATGGAATCCTAGCCATACTCTGGTCAATTCCATCTCATCTTAATCGGGTTCGATTAGAGGCTAACGATCCCTTTTCGGGATCTAGGAATTCCGACTGAACAGACCTCTTCCGGACTATCCTGTTCAGGACTATGCAGGACATGAGCATACCGTATGGCGTGATAGAGCTTTTCAGCAGATTTTCTCTAGAATATCCTGTTACTTCTAAAGCTCAAATCTGGAAATTCCAGCTCATTTACGCTTCAAGGTTCAGAAATTCAGAATCCTAGGATATTTCTCAATTCCAAACATTTTTTCTCAGAATGCAATTTCAGATTTCAAAATCCATATAGTGGTCAGAAATCATAGATTTTTTCCACTGCGAAATAAAAAACAAGCTCCGCCCATTATTGTTTCCATTCAATGAGTCACAGCGACTGCTGGATGACATTTTTATGAGGATTGCCATTGTTTTGAGCGTATTTTCCCTGGCATTTCTCTTGGAATTTCGAAATGTTTGAGGAAATTTCATTCTACGATGATTCATGATAAATTTAGGCCGTTTCCAACTGATTTTTGCGACTGTTTCAGAGAAAAATCGCTTGATTTGGGCCATAAGCAAGCGTCCTCTGAGAAAAAACTCCAAAAATTGAGCAAATCAGCAATAAGCTCCACCTCTTGCTGAGCATTAAGCTCAGCCTCTTGATGAGCAATAAGCTCCGCCTCTTTCTGATCAATAGGCTCCGCCTCTTGCTGATCCTTAGCTCGTTCCTCAGGTATTGATATTTGTTTTGTAAGCACAAGTAATTGTTTTGAGATGTTCTGAGCAAAATCTTGCTATAAAACCTCAAAGTTGAGGCCAGAATATTTCAATTAATGCTGTTTTTTTGGGTCTCTCTAGAACCTTCTTCAAAATAATAACTCCAAAATTCATCACAAGGGCGGGCGTCCCGTATTGTGCACAATCACAATGCCCTCTCTCTCTCAGTCTCCTCATTCTCGATCACTGCCCCCAGCAGCCAAAAAACTTGTCATTATCAATAGAGGCATTCAAAACCTCAAGTCTGTGTGCCTCCTTCCAATTCGTTTTTTTTGCTTATCTCTCATCTAAACTCCTTTCTTTGTGGTGGTGATACTGATTTCGAATTGTAATGGGCAGAGAGAGACAGAGAGAGAGAGGAGACACAAAAAGAATGATAGTGATAGTGGGAGCACATATAACCTTGCATTCGCTTCGTCAATTTCATTTTTCCAGGAGAGAGAACTCTATCACTTTATCGCGTTTTTTGTTTCTTATGCTTCGACGTGGATCAGTCGTTATGAACTTTTCAATTCGTAGAATAGAGGACGAAGGACCTTCTTAGAAGGTGTTGGAGAGGCTTCTAGGCTAGGCGGGCTTAGCAAATATGGTTTATCATAACGCTTTTCGGGATTGAGCATAGCTGGCTTCTGGTTTAGCCTATAGATTTTTGGATACTGGCATAGCTAGCTTCTGGTTTGGTCTATAGCTTTTTAGGATTGAGCATAGCTAGCTTCTGCTTTAGTTCATAGCTTTTCGGGATTGAGCATAGCTAGCTTCTGGTTTAGTTTATAGCTTTTTGGGATTGAGCATAGCTAGCTTCTGGCTTTGGCTAGCTTCTGCTTTAGTCTATAGCTTTTTGGCTTTTTAAAAAATCCACATTGACATTTCGAAGCTAATCCAATTTTCGCATTTTTAGGATCTAATTTTCTTGAAGTTCTCATGGCTAATTAAGAATCTGAGTCCCAGATTCTGGGGTTGAGCCAAGGATCTCGAATTCTGTGACTCCTAGAAGACTAGGAAATTCGAGATTTTGGAGATTCCAAGGCTGCTCAAAAACCGCGGCCTAGACCATGGACAAGCTTCCGTGGACCAATCTTTCCGTTATCAGCGGTCCTAAAAGTTCCAGGGCTCTCGGAAGTAATGATCTTACAGTAATCCAACTACTGTAATTCTTGATTTTTGTGGATATTCCTTTTCTTCTTCTTTTCTAGAAATCGAAATTTTTAAAATTGTCATATGTTCCTTTAAATTGGCTTTACTTTGGAATAGCCAGATTCCAATGACGCATTTCGATTTCCCAATTTCTCTGTTGCCGAATCCTCTCGAAAGGATTTCCAATGATTCATTGAATCTCTTCTGGAACCCATTCTTCTACTGAGTCATATCCAGATCTTTCCGCGATTTCTAGAATTTCCTGCATCTCAAAAAAACAGTCTTCAATGTGAACGTGATTTTTTTGATTTTCTGCATGAGCCTTCATCTTTATCAGCATATGGTTTTCAGCTGAGTTTTTCTGCCATACCGGTATGTGTCTGTTATTCCCAAATTTCGCTCTCCGCAGAGAAAAGTGTCACTTTTCTCCTGTCTATGCGTCTTTGAAAACATATAAATGCGGTTTTTCCACACACAAATGTTTGTTCACAATATTGCTCATAGGACTATTTGAGGAGCTCACTGTCTGTTTGTGTGTTTTCTTGGAATTTCAATTCTTCTCTTGATTCTCTTGGCTTTTCGGAATTCTCGCCCATCGCTAATCTCGAATCTTTCAGATTTTTCAAATGACTGGGACAAAAAAATCGTCGTCACGCTGGCCGGAGCTCCAGCTCTACGGAGCATTTCTTCTGACCACTCTGGTAAGCGATTCGTCTTTTTTCGATGCAATTGCTCTTCAAACTTTGAATGATCATTTGCTGATAAGAGAGAGAGAGTGTCAAATGTCTTGGAAGGACAGTAGTATATCATTTTTGATATGAAGTTGACGTCGTCTTAGGAGGAATCCGATGAGAGCGCAGAGAAGTTTATGAATTCTCACGTTTCGAACTTTCAACGTTGAAACTACAAACTCTGGTCTATTCGGGGTTGTGACCCTGATCTATGTCATGGAGTTTGGAGTTTAAAGTTCGTCTGACGAGTCTAAAGGCTCTAGACTGGAGCACAGAACTAGGCCATCGAGAATCATGGGATCTCCCTTAAGGATCGGATGTCCCTCAAGGATCAGTGACTCTCAGAGGATCGAACTAGGACAGTATGAAGCCCAAACGACGTTCCAGCGATATGATCTGTAGATGAACTGTGCTCTAGCGATCTGAACTTGAAATCAGAAAATCTGTTTTCGAACTTCAGACCAGCGCCTCAAGGTCTCAAGAACGGAAACCAGAAGACTAGGATGTTCCAGATCAGAGGCTGAACCACGTCAGTAGGGCTCCGCGACGTTTCGAAAGTGTGACGTTTCGCAAGTGTGACGTTTCGCAAGTGTGACGTTTCGCAAGTACAACGTTTCGAAAGTAACAGCTTTGCGCTTTTTTGCATGAATGAAAAAACAGAAACTTGTATTTCAGTGTTTAAATTGTTTTTCGAATAGAGTTTTGTATATTTGAAGTTTTCAAAGCATTAATTGCCGTACTTTCGAAACGTCACACTTGTGAAACAAATCGAAAAATGTGTGAAACAGCTCTTTCGAAACCTCGCGGAGCCGTCAGTAGAGTAGCTGAGCTCTAGCGATCTGGGCTTTAAAGCTCCTAGACTTGAAATCAAAAGATCTGATCAAGTAGGATAGGATCCAAGCTTCACTACGGCTAAATCAGCTGTGCTGATATCCGACTCTGCCACATCTAACTCATTTTCCAGGGCGATCGCATGTGGTCTTTCGTGATCGGACTCTTCATGCATCAGTTGGGCGGAATGACATGGGTCGCCGTTCAGCAGCTCGTCGACTCCCTTCTCAAGCTCTTCGGTATCACCTTCATCGGACAGTTTCTTGATAAAATCGACCGTGATAAGAGTGAGCACTCTTGTTGACTTCTAAAGCTTAAACCCCTCTTAATCCAATAATTCCAGTCATCCAGCGAACTCTTCTTCTCAACAACGCAGCTGTTGCCCTGTCCGCGCTCATCTTCGCTGGAATGTTCCAATATCGCCCGGAGAACTATGCTACGCTGTATCTGTTGATTGCTTCAGCGATCGCCTCCGTTTCCAAAGTGGCCAGTGAGATTCAGAGAATCTGCTTTACCAAAGATTGGGTAGTCGTCATTTCTAGATCGGAAAGAGTTGATTTGTCGAGTAAGTGCTTCAGATCCTAGATTCTAGATAAAGCGAACTCTCCAAAACTCTCAAAACTTCAGAAGTCAACTCCTATCTCCTCAGTATCGACCAAGCGTCGTCGCTAGCCCTTCCATGGGTCAGCGGATGGCTTTTGGACCACTTTCCATGGCAAACCGTCTGTCTCATCATCATCGCCTACAACTGCGGATCGTGGGTTTTGGAGGCGTACATTCTGAGGAATCTGTACCAGAATACCGAGGGTTTGAAGACGAGATCCAGTGAGCTTGGTGAGTTTTGATCTCTTTACATCTCTATTGGAATTCCGAAGTTTCCAGAAGGCGACGAGGAGCTGATGGGTATCAAGGATATTCGTATGAACACTGTCACGACGTACTTTAGACAGAGTAGCTGGACTGCTGGATTCGGTCTCGCTTTGTTGTACATGACTGTGCTTGGATTTGATAATGTAAGCCTCGAGATTCTTAATTTCAGAACCAAATGTTCAAAATATCAAAATTTCGAGAAAATTCAATTTCCAGCTCGCCGCCTCCTATGGCCAGAAACACGGCCTCTCTGCTGGCTACATTGGCTTCCTTCGTGGCGTCGGCTCCCTCTTGGGTATTGCCGGAACCCTCAGCTATCACCACATCTCCAAACGTGTCGGACTTCTCTGGACCGTAATGATTGGCTTGATCTGGCAGAACATCTTCATCGAGATGTGCGGAGTGTCTATGCTTCTCCCCGGATCCTCCATGGATGTCAGCGGATTCATTCAGAATACCACCGCTTCCCAATGGGTCTCAAAAGTCGTTCACAAAGTCACCAATCCCGAACCCCAAGATGTCCCATCGATTCCATTCTGGGAGGTCTCCCTTCCCGTCAATCTCTTCTTCTTTGGTATCATGTTCGCTCGTTTCGGTCTGTGGCTTGCGGATCCGGCGATCACTCAAATTCAGCAGGAGACTATTCGAGAGGATCAACGCTATATGGTGTTCTCAGTGCAGTTGGGATTGAATGAGCTGTTCTCGGTGCTCAAGGACATTATTGTCATCATGTTCCCATTCACCTCGTTGTTCGGAGCACTGACGTTGGGATCGTGTGCCTTTGTGTTCGCCGGATTTGTGTTTAACCTCTTCTATCATGCTCAGGTAAGGACCTAGGATCTCTAGGATCTAGGATCTCTGGGATCTCTAGGATCTAGAATCTCTAGGATCTAGGATCTCTAGGAACTAGGATCTCTAGGACCTAGGATCCATAGGATCTAGGATCCATAGGATCTAGGATCCATAGGATCTAGGATCTTAGGATCTAGGATCCATAAAAGCTAATCCTCAAATTTTTGCAGTGCGGCTTCTCGTTGACCAACAAGAACATGCACCTCGTCGAGCAGGAGTCCACGGAGATGTCCGATCTCTCAGACACCTCCCCTGAGCGTCAATCGCTGATCGGAGGAGTCAGCGGAGATCTGAGAGCAGTGGAGGAAGAGACCAAGGCCACGAGCAGCACGAACAACGAAGAGGAAACGCACTGATAAACGGTTTTTGATGATAACGATCTTCCTATCTGTACATTCTAGTCATTCCATCTCCCCAAAGAAGCAAAAAACACACATTCCTATTTGCAGTTATTTTGTAAAATGGTTCCTATAGAGATAATAATAAATCTATGTATTAAGAGAAAAGCAGATTTCCAGACTTCTTTTCAGACTACAAAAACTACAAAACCCAGAATCCCTACCTGCTTCACATAGCGATTCGACGAGGAGAACATTGAGGTGTTGGCGGCGTTGGCGCCACGATTCGCGAGACTCGTCGACTGACGAATACAGTGATCGACGAGGCACTTCATCAGGTGGAGACACATGTCTGGAAGCACTTCTCGAACCTTCTGTGGTACCATATGGAACTCGTTGACGATTACGGTCACTTGATCCGGCTCGGTTGGGATTAGGCGGAGATGGGAGGAGATTCTGGAAAATGGGAGAATTCAGGAATGTTTAGAATTTCAGAGTTTCAGCTTTTCGGAAATTCAGAATTCGAGAATCTAGGAATCCAGAAATCTAAGAATATCAGAATTTAAGAATTTAAGAATCTAGGAATCCAGAAATCTAAAAATTTCAGAACCTCAGTGGTTCAGAAATTTAGAATACGAGAATTTCAGAGTTTCAGATATTCAGAATCTTAGAATTTCAAAGTTTCAGAGTTTTAGATTTTTAGAATTTCAGAGCTTCACAATCTAGGAATCTAGGAATTTGAGTTTTCGAATTTCGGATTTTCAGATTTTTAGAATTTCAGAGTTTCAGAGTTTTAGATTTTCGGAATTTCAGAATTTCAAAGTTTCAGAGTTTCAGATTTTCAGATTTTTAGAATTTCAGAGATTCTGAATTTCGGATTTTCCGGTTTTCAGATTTTCAGAATCTCAGAATTTCAGAGTTTTAGATTTTAAGATTTTCAGAATCTCAGAATTTCAAAGTTTTACCTTCAGAATCAGAGAACCACGGATTCTGAGAATATTTTAGAAATCTCTAATTTTTCCAAATTTCTACACGATTTTCAGTCATTTTTGTGCATTTTCTTGACTTGAAATCGATCAATATTTACCAAAAACTAACCCATAAGCGGTATCAGCGTTATCATTTCTGCAGTGATCAAACAGCACCGCGAGATCGACCAACAACGACAGCGTGGCATACTCAGCCGCTTGACATCCCTTTTGAACGCGTTTGAATTGCTCAGCTACTGTAACCAGCTCGCCAATCTTCTCCTTGTTATCCGCACGGAGTGTCTCACTGATTTCCGATGATAACAGTTTGGCGGCGTTTGTGGACTTGGATGCTAGCAGATAGAGACTGACGGCTTGATCCCATTCACCGGTGAGTTCCGTGTCACTCGCCACACGATTGATCACTTCCGATGGATCGTCGAGGTATCTGCAAACAGTTCGGGTTGGGTTACTGTAGTACTGGATGTTTATTTGACATCATTTTTAAGCCAAAATCTCGTTTTTTTTTGGTAAAAAGGGACAAAATCGGAAAAAGTAGAGATATAATTTCTGCTCATCTGAAAGTGGCCTAGAAATAGCCAATTTTTGGCGGGAATCCCAGAAATTTGAAATTCAGATTTTCGCTCTTCTGATGGGTTACTGTAGGTAGGAAAGAATGCATTTCGGGGGGGGGGGGGTCCAAATTGACCAAAATTACAATTCTTGAAGGAATGGAGATGGGTTGAAATTGAGCTAAAAAATCATGAATTGTGAGATTTCCAGTATTCCGAAAAATTTTCAAAACATATTCAAAGATTGCTCATCTGGAAAATGACCTCAAAATTCCAAATTTTTTCCGTAAATTCGAGAAATTTGAAATCCAGATACTTCTGTTTTCTATGACAACCTAGAAACCCGTTTCTTGGATTTCTGTAGCCTCTTCTATTCAACGTAATTTTATCCTAATTTTGAAAAAAAACCACCAATTCAGCCAGCCCATGAATGAATTGGGGTTACTGTAGGAGATGGAAAATTGCTCAAAAATTCATTTTTCGCGGTTTTGAATTGTGAAGATTGCTCATCTGAAAATGGCCTAGAAATAGCCAAATTTCGAAAGGTATTCCAGGAATTATAAAATCAGATTTTTCCTTCTTCTGATGGGTTACTGTAGGGGAAAAAGGGAACTTTCATTTCTGGGGGTCCAAATTGGTCAAAGTTACAATTTTGAGAATCGAAATATGTATTCTTTGGAGGCAGCTTAATTTCTAAATTTTGAGAATTCGAAGTACATGAAAAACAGATTGCTCATCTGGAAAAAGACCTAGAAATTCCAAAATTTCGGTAGGAATTCCCCAACCTAGAAACCTGTTTTCTGGGATTACGGTAGCCTCTTTTATTCAGCGTAATTTTATCCTATAATTGAAAAAAAAACACCAATTCAGCCAGCCCATCAAACGTGGAAACCAGGTTTCCAGACCAGACTTCTGGTACTTCTGATTTTCTGAAAATAATCGTCAGTTTCTGAAATTCCAGACCATTGAAGAGGAATCTTCTCGAAGAGTCTTGTCAGCAACTGTGAGTTTGGGGATTCAGAATCCTAGATGACGTGGATCTGGAACTCCGCGCTTCAGAAGTTTGAGAATCTGCCACGTCATCTAGGATAACAGTTAGATCGATCGGCTATAGCTGACGATAGCGTGGGAATTAGGAGCTCTAGGCTAGCTCGAGGAGCTTCGAAGGTTCGGGGGCGTTTCTAGAATAAATTCCAGCCACCTGAGAGCCAATTTCGCTTGAAATTTCTAGAAAAAACTCCAGACCAAAAATAGCCCTTTTTAGGCCGAGTTTGGTGGATTTCAGACCAACAAAACTAGTGTGTCTTCTCCATCTCTCTCTCTCTCTCTCTCTACTTGCTCCATCACCAATGATTGCAACACTCGCTGCTCACTTCCTCATCGCCGGCATGGTGCTCGGGCTCTGCGGAAAGAAGGCCGCCAAACCAAAGGACGACACCTATGAGGATTTGTCGGTGGACAAAAAGTGATCTATGAAGAAACCATGTGAATGTGTGTATAATTAATAAATCTTTGTATTTATTTATGTTGAAATTGGACTTTTTGAGCCAAAACCGTATTTTGGATTGCTCAGATCTTACTTGGATCATCCAAAACAGGATTTTTAAGCCGAAAAAGGGCCAGCAAATCAGGGATTTTGGGGTCTACAATCATGAAAATTCCAATTGCTCTGATCCAAATTAGGTCACAAGCTAGGCGATCGGATTGAAGCCAATTTCATGGCCATAGCTTTCTGATTACGGTACTTGTCTTACGGTACGGGTCAGGCTTTTTTTGGGTGGCACAGCTACCGTAGCTCGCAGCGACCGGTCCATGGCGGTCGGCCGCGGCCCAGATTCCGACCTTTTGAGCTCCCGTTTTTGGGGTCAAATTTGACGCGCCAAATCTCAGAAAAAACCCAAAACCACGCAGATTTTTTTCCTGCCGACTTGGCAAAGCTCACAACATACTGGTGCTCATTTCACACACACTCAACATGTTCGGCGAGTTTTCCCCTTTTTTGGATCTCCAAACTACTTCTTCTTTGTTCTATTGCGTTTTGGTGCACATTCTCATCGCCGTCACGATGCTCGGGTTTTGTGCCAAGAAGAGTAAGAAGGAGGAGGTGAAATCGGAGGTAAGGATCTAGGATGATCTAGGATGGTCTAGGATCTAGGATCTATAGGATCTAGGATTCATAGGATCTAGGATGGGCCAGGATCTAAAATCCATAGGATCTAGGATCTATAAGATCTAGGATATATTGGATCTAGGATCTAGGATCTATAGAATCTTTAGAATCTAGGACCTATTGCATCTAGGATCTATTGCATCTAGGATCTATAGGGTCTAGGACCCGTAGGAACCTTCCAAAACCTTCTCTAGCAGTCTGGGATATCTAGAATCCTCCAGAATCTTCCAGAATCTTCACTAACTCAATTTAACTCCTTTTTTCAGCCTCAATCTGCCCGCGATCCTCTCGCTTCTCAAGAAACCCCCCGTGAGCCAGGCGGTGGTAACGAACGATCCCGTCATCACTTCACCCCACCGCACATCGCTACAGCTGCTCCGGGACCATCGGCTCTTCGGACTCAACACCACCGCCCATGCCCAGTGCACTGCCACTTCAGTGAAACATCCAACGACGCCAGCGACTCATTCGTCGATTCAGCAGACACCTCGGACATCGAATTCGACTCGACGCAATCGTTGTCCGGCGGTGATCACAACTCGTATCTGGCTGAGCAATGCACATGCATTTGTGCTCCGAAACAAGTACGATTCCAGTGTCCGAAGACGTCCAGCCGTTCATTGAGCTCTCGTCGTTTCATTTGATTTTTTTGAATAGAGGTTAAAAGGTATAAAGATGTCTACTTTTTTTGTTTAAATCCTGTGTTTGAATAAAGTTTTAGAATATGAATTGATCCTATCACAACCCTGCTATAGGCCTAAACCGAGCCTATGAGCCTGTTTAGAGCCAGCCTGATCGGCCTAAAAATTGGTCTACGAAGGCCTAAAATCAGCCTTAAAGCCTTAAACAAGCCTATTTTCAGGCTAGGAAAAAGGCGAGTTTTAGTCTTTTCAGATCTATTTTCAGGCGTTTAAGGCCCGTTTGAGATTGTTTTTAGGCCTTTCAGGCCCAGTCTAGGCAGTATTTTTCACCCAATAACCTTAGCTTTTTTAGAGAATCATTTGGATGATAGGAGCTGATTTTGGGGGGGGGGGGGGGCCTAAATATGCTATTGGCTAGATTCGGACCATTTTCAGCCGTTTTCGGATCGTTTCCAAATAATTTGGAGCATATGGGACCTAATTATCTCGTTTGAAGATCTTTTTCAGCTAAATTTGCTTCAATTTGAGCTCATGTTTCGGGATCAAAACGGCACTAATTATAGATGATTTCAGACAATTTTCAGAGCATTTCCAGCCAATTCTAAGCCTATTGTTCCTTTATTTAAAAAAAACTCACTCATCAATCAGCCCCTTCTCTCTTCGTCCATCCGGCGTCAGTGTTCCCAGAATCGCGTCACACTGTCCAGTCAAATACACCGACCGGCTCACTGCCATCTCGAAGACGTCGGATCCTGTAGGCGTCGAGATTCCCTTAAGCAAGAACCAATAGTCCAGCGATCGTGGCACATCGATCAGCTCAAAGTTTTTCGTGTAGGCGACGATGAGCCGAGCGAGATTCAGATGACATTTCGTGGCGTCGTTCGGGTCGACGACTACTGTAATAGGATGGAAAATTGGGTCTTTTTGTGAATTTTCGGGGTTTTCAGACCATTTTAGGTCAAATTTGGCTTACGTTACTGTCAAATTGGGTTTTTTTTTCAGCTATTTTCAGCTTGTTTTAGACCATTTTCCATTTTCCGACAGATTTAGCTCATTTTTAGCCATTTTTAACTTATTTCGGGCCGTTTAGAATCGATTTTTCAGTCAAAATTGGCTTATTTTTAGCGATTTAAAGCCGTTTTCAGCCTATTCACAGCTTATTTCAGGGTAATGTCAGCCAATTCCAGCATATTTGGGACTATATCGAATCTATTTTTTCGTCAAATTAGGCTCATTTCTCTATTCAATTTTGAGCCATTTCCAGTCTATTTACAGTAATTTTCAGTGTATTATCGGTCAATTCCTGTCTATTTGTGACCAACGTTTCTGTCTAATTTGGCATTTTTTCAGCTTATTTCAGATCATTTTTCAGTCCAATTTGGCTCATTTCAATCCATTGTCGGCGTAATTTCAGTTATTTCAGATCGTTTTCAGTGAAATTTAGGTCATTCCGGATCCATTTTCCGACAGATTTGGCTCATTTTTAGTTTTAACCTATTTCGGGCCGTTTGGAATCGATTTTTTCGGTCAAAATTGGCTTATTTTTAGCGATCTTAGGCCGTTTTCAGCCTATTTTGAGTCATTTCGGATTTATTATTCAGTCTAATTTGGCTCATTGTTAGTCATTTTCAGCATAATTTCAGCCTATTTCCCAAACTCACACATCTCATCGGTCGACTTGACCGACATCCGAAGATATCCCAACTTGTGTGCGAGAATCGCCACGTGTACACTATCCACTCGTTGTCCGCACTCGTGAAGGAGCTGAAAATCGGGATTTTAAGCATGAAACTAGGCCATTGAACCTACATAAATAGCCCTCTCGAATTGTCCAGAAAGCCAGAGAGCCGTGAAGAAGTACTGGAACTCGGAGGGGCCATTTGACATGAAGTATTGCTCTCCTGGAAATTATAAATGTTGTGGGTACTGTAGGTGGCCTAGAAAACTCAAAAATGAATATTTTTAGGTCATAACTGTCTAATTTTCCCATTAAAAATGGTCATTTACCGTAATGGACTATTTTTGGCTAATTTTTGACTAATTATGGCTCATTTTCAGCCGGTTTCGGTACCTTTTTTGACTAATTTTAGCTCATGTTTGGACCAGTTTTGGCTCAATTCAGGTCCATTTTTTGGATATTTTCTAATCATTTTCTTGACCATTTTTGGCTCATTATGGACTATTTAAGGCTCATTTTCAGCCGATTTTGGACTAATTTTTCTTATGGGCTAATTTTAGCCAATCTATGTTTGGACCTTTTTGTGTCATTTTTGACCATTTTTCACTAATTTCAAGCACATTTTTGACAATTTTTGATTATTTTTAGCTCACTTTGACAGATTAATAGCTCATTTTCAGACCATTTTCAGCTCATTTTCGGCCGATTTTCGTCAATTTTTGATTATTTTTGGCTCATTTTATGGTCACTTTTGACTATTTCTCGCTTAATTCAAGCTTGTTTTCTTCCAATTCTACTAACTTCAGTCTATTTTTGACCATTTTTGCTTTATTTTAGCTCATTTTTTAACGGATTTCTGGTTAATTTTCTGACAGTTTTTGACTAATGTTAGTCCTTTCAATCATTTTTTGCTTGTTTTAGACTACTTTTGGCTGAATTTTGACTCGTTTTGGCCTCATTTTGGACTGTTTAAGATTCATTTTCAGCAGATTTCCGTCTCTTTCTGACTAATTTTAGCCCATTTTTGGCTCAATTTAGGCACATTTTCAACCATTTTGGCTGATTTGGACCATTTAGAAAGTGAAAAATCCTACCATAATCAATCGAAACGGCTTTCTGAACCTCCTGGAACAGCAACGGCGTCAACTGTGGATCGACGTGAAGTGGGTATAGCTTAAACCAGATCCAATTCTCTAGAGTATCAGCGAGAGCCGCGGATTCGAGTCCGCCGAGAAGGGCGGCGTAGAGAGCACGCTTGTACTTGTCCTTGGTGTGGCCGACGTTGTGACGCCACTCGACTTTCAGCTTTTTCTGAAAATTCGGGGTTTCGAAGCATGAAAATCAATTTTCAGAAGGGGTTTTGGCTATTTATACACTAGAAATAGTACTCTTTGGCTCGAAGACTGGTATTTTCAGATCCATTAAGCTTAAAAATCAGATGTTCAGATTTTTTCAGAGCTCAAATTGGGTATTTTAGCTCTAAAAATAATAATTTTGACTCAAAAATTTCCGAATTTCCAGTTTCAGAACCCTTTTTTTCAGCCCAAAAAGGTCCAAACCTTAAGCTCCGCATCCAATTTCTTGTGTTTTGCCACGTGGTTCAGCGAGGCGACCAGAGTTGCGCACTGTGGGAACGATTTGAGTCGGTTGAGGGTCTCGGCGGCTGCTTGCATGTCTCCAGCACGGACACAATGATATGTCACTTGCCACGTTGGCATTCCGTCGATACTGTCGTCTTCTGGTTGGAAGGGCTCTTCGGTGCCGACCTGGAAAATGGGAAATTTCAAGATTTTCAGATCGAAGCGGTCGTTTTTGAAGTTAGATTCTTAGAAAATCAGAAATCCTGAAAATCCAAAATTCGGAAATTTTTTAGAAAATCGGAAATTCGGAAATCTGAAAATTCGCAAAATCGGAAATTCAAAAATTCAAAAATTCAGAAATCTGGAAGTTTCGAAATTCGGAATTTTAGAAAACTGGACATTCAAAAATCGGACTTTCAAAATTACAGAAATTCAGAAGCTCAGAAATTCGGATATGATGAATTCTAGTTTTTATTTTCAGATTTCCAGTCATTTTCAATCATTTTCAGTCACTTTCTGACCTTATTTTTAACTTTTTCCATCAATTTTCACCAATTTCTCACCTTCAAAAACGAAATCCGGAAATTCGGATATTCAGAAGTTCTAAAATTCAAAAATTCGAAAACTCAGAAATCCGAAAGTTCCGAAATTCCCAATTTTTTGAAGTTCTGGAAATAAGAAATCCGGTAATTCAAAATGCTGAAATTTCCGAAATTTGGAAATTCTGAAATTCGGGAATTCAGAAGTTTGAAAACTCAAATGTTTTATAACATGCAATTTCGGAACTTCTGAAAATCGAAAATTCAAAAACTCTGAAATTCGGATATTGGTGAGACTAGCCTAATTCGATTTGAGGTAATTTTGGCTTAATTAGGCCTAATTTTGGCCAAATCAGATGAATACTAGTATAAAATCAGCGAACGTTAAACTGAAGTTTTCAGATTTCCAGTCATTTTCTGACCTAATTTTTTACTTTTTCCATCAATTTTCACCATTTCCTCACCTTCAAAAACGCATTAACCAGTCCTCGTTTGCCTGGAATTCCTCCTCTCTCCGCGATTTCCAAATTCCTCTCAACAACAGTCTGCATATGATCAGTGAACACTTTCTGAAGATATCTACACGCATCCTCCAGAAGATTCGCCGTCGTCGTCACGTCGTCTCGACTCGCCACCGTTTTTCGATTCAGCACCGATGTGACATCGTTCCAGACGTCGGCCAAAGCACCGTCTGTTCCAGACTCCTCAACAGCTTCTTTCATCAGCTCGACTAGCGATTTTTTGCCTTGAGACTTCAGATATTTGTGTAGTTTGTCGCCGAAAAGAAGCTCTCGACGATCGCTGATGTTCTTGTTGACGAATGTTCCGTTTCCCGTGGGTAGGTCCTGCAAAAACAGGTATTTCTGGCTTGAAATTGGTATTTTCAGGAATCCGGGAGGTTTCGGAACCACGACGTTTCAGAACTTTTCTGCATTCTTGCATAGTGGTTTTTGCACACAAAATGAGCATTGCTCATTTCAATTTTGTGCTTTTCTGCTTTTTTATTCGTTCTAATCTACCGTACTCCAAGTACCGGCGAATACGAGTC